GTGGCCGCCCTGGTGGGACTGGTGTCAAAACTCAAGCAGTCCTGCACTTCTAATCTCGGCCTTCTCAGCTCCACACAAAACCCTCAGTTACCCAAAGACCTAAAAAGAGAGTTATTACAAAATCATCCCAACCATAGCCAAGTTGCTTTTAGCTTTTTATTTATTAATGGAGGAGTCTTATTTCATGTGTAGTTCCAATAAACTAGTTTATGAGCTCCAGTCTATTTTTTCCTTGTTGCGTAACTGGACAGGTGTGAAATTTAAAACAAAAACAAAAAAAAAAACACTTGATTTGGAAGTCTTTGCTGAACTTCACTATCTTTGGGAACAGAATCAATTAAACATGTATATGTTACTTGGACTAAATACAACATAAGCTCTTGTAAATTATAGCTCAAGCATCTACAAGTTAGAGAATGTTAGAATCTATCGTTGAAGTTCCTATCATCCTTCATGCAAATTCAGTCATTTAGTTCTTAAAATATTACTTGGATTTTTCTGCCAACATCAAGGGAAATAATGACACTACTCAAGGGCTGGGAAAATTGCTTTAGCAGCTATTTTTCCATATATTAGACATACTTTAGTCAACATTTAAATAAGCTGAAAGTGGCCACATATTGAATTCCTTTGTATCTTATGTTGGGTATCCTTACCTCTGAAAGTAGTACTACATATTGCCTGCTATTTACATTTTTTACATAATTTAATGTGAATATTTTTGTAATTATGACCAGTGCTAATCAAGCCAATCAAGCGTAGCTATTCTAAAACCATTGTTAATGTCTATTCACTTACAGGTAATTGAATATGATGCACTTTGTATATTAAGAATGGCTAGGGTCTTTGGCGATGCACCCAACGCTCTGCTGATAACACCAATCAAATGGAGGAGAGAATAGCAAACCATACACAGACAGGAGTGGATAGCTTTCCACAAAAGGGAAACTGTTGAGCCGTGCTGGTGCGGGGACAGGAGATTCTCTCAGTACATTTGCCGAGAGGGGGATGGGGCAGGTCCTCTGTTATGCTTGGGAATCTGACACCTCATTCTTGCCAGGCATTTACTAATTCTTCTGTTTAGAAAAAGCCACTCAAATGTCTAAATTTGGGGTCTAGCTCTGTGTGTATTCTTGTGTCATCTGCTTACACCTTGTGCCTCTTTAGGTCTCCCTAACTTAAACATATTCATACATTTATCTTTTTTCTCCTGAACAGATTCTCCCGTTATCTATCCCCTCCAGAATTTTCATTACAGTAAATTGAACTCTGGATATGGCCTATCTCACCTTACGAGTAATTTGCATTATTTCAAACTTTTGAAAACCAGAGTAAACTATTACTGTTACATTTATTTGTTACTTTTGTTAGCAAAATTAATAGAATCTTTAAAAATTTTAAGATTTAAATGCTATTATTTTCATAACAGCTTGTATCCCAGTTAGGCCTAAGTTTGGGGAAGTCAATGTAAAAAGGAATTGATTTTACAGAGAGGGCATTTTATAAGTGTTTCTTTTAGGAGCATCACATAGTGATAACTTTCCTTTATTTTCAAGATAAGAAAAAAGTAAGTGTAGAGGCTTTTTAAATTCTTTCTAGGATAACCCCCTCAGAGTGCGGGATCTAGGTGTTTGGGAGAGTCAGCCAGTCACCTTAGTATGGGATTGTAAGGTCGGAGGTCCCAAGCGTGAACATACACACAGCTAGCCAGTGGCTGCGTGTTACCTTCCTTACTGAGAAGTAAGGGGGACTCTGCTGAGAAGTCTCCCCAGCCAGCTATGCCTTGGGGTGGGGATGGCTGAGGAGACAGGGAAATGCACCTCAAAACAGTGTGCGGATGAAAGTTAACTGGGACGTTATTTTGGTAAGTGCATCCCTTTCTTTAGTTATCAATAACATGTTCCCCTGTTGATTCACAGAACGAATCCCTTTTTCATTGTCCCCACCTCTCTTCCCACCTGGCTCTTCCCAGCCTGCGGGTGTGTTTCTGTACAATGTCACAAGAAAGGCTGTAATATAGCCTCTGCTTTCTTCTTTGTTACCTACACACATTTGTAATTCCTACCTTGATCAGACCTAATATTACTGCTAACTAAAGGCTTATTATTTGATCTGATTCAAGATCACACATCCTGGGAATTGAAAGCAAACACTGAGACTGACCAATCATTGAAATAGTGTTGCCATCCATGTAGCAATTTTACCTGCTTGCTGATAGCCCTGAGATAGGAGGAATAATCTTCCTTGAGAATAATAGCGTAGATTCAGGCCTTCAGGCGCCCTCTCAACCTATATTAATACAATATGGTTTTCATTCCTTTTGACATTCTAGAGAGAAAGCACTGAGAGTGATGAGAAGGCAGCAGGTACAGGGGGAAGGAGGGGCAGTCCGCACTCACACTGTAACGGAAGAAAAATGACAGCCAAGTTAGGTTTGGCTGGAATGGAGCACACCCACAGCTTCATCACTCGGGAGGCACATTTTGACATAGTCACAAACTATTGAGTAAGAACCACCCTTATCTAGGTCAGAATGACAGACTCCCAGGTGTTAGGAGCTTGGGGGAACAACTACAGTCCGAAACAGCAGGAAGACTGCATTCTGTACAGAATTTTCATCAAGTCTCAACACTGCCTAATAGTTTTTATCCAGGACACTGTAATTACTCCGCTGGCTTACAGTGGCAAAGCACTTTGATTGCAAAACCTACCAGCAGAGAATGAACCACATTTTATGACGACTGCTTTTATAATAAGATGCAGATGGTAAAGGAACCAGATGCCTCTGACATCATCTCCCATTTGCCTTCGACTTTTGCAGACACTGGCAGTCTGTAAACTCATTCAAAGGGATGTGAGATAAGTCAGGCAGTTTTCCAAATCTGTTTCGTCTAAAAAAACACAGGCAGCGGTGGCACTGTTTTCTTTGAGTCACGCGGTGATAATTCCACACACACAAAATTGATTCTAAGTCTGTGTCAGGCTTTAATGCAAAATTAATCATCAGGGGGAAAAAAAGCCCCACAAATATCAGGAGTTTAGCAATTAGTAACTACTGATTATTTTGCATGACAGTGACAGGAAGGACAGAGTGGGGGTGGGGTAATGGAGAACAGCTGTAGCTTCAAGGAGGCAAAGAGAAAGGAGAATTTTAAACAGACAAGCAGGTAGAAAACTCTCTTTCAGCCCTTGGCACCCAGACTGTTCAAAGGCTGATTCCTTATTGTAGAAAGTAAGAAATTTTGAGGAGGCTTTTTGGATCACTGTTTCTGACCTCAAAAAAAAAAAATTCATTCAGTATTTCCATCGGTATTTTCCAGAAGGAATCTGATAGTTCTGATAGGGGCTTCCACCATTTCCCCAGTGGTATCGCTGAACATTATACACAGGAAAAGGATTTTGTGTGTGTGTGTGTGCAAGATAAATGTGCTAGAAGACCTTTAAAAGAAGATAAGGAACTTCTGCAGTCCTTCTTGAAAGCAAGAGATGCCTGGGTTAAGCAACAGTCTCAAAGCCTTGAGCAGTGTTTGAGGTTCCAGTATAGATCAGCGCAGCTACAGATGACGGGGAGTTAGACAAAAATCCTTTCAAACCTTCCTATCTCCCCTGACCACCATTATTTAACTGCATCTACACCTCTGCAGTGGGTAGATGGGAAATTCAGCAGGGAACAAAAAAATTTTTTCAGAAACAAAGGCAAGGTAATTAGTGACATAAAAATAAATCCTGCTAGGCCAAATACGGTGCCTATTTTTAAAACAATCTCTCTGTGCAAGTAACAAACTGAACACATACACGCACACAAGAATAAACAAACTCTTGTAATTCATATCTATAAACTGGGTTGGAAAGTATTAGTGCAAATTTCTGCTGACCTGCAGCATTTAGTCCATAAACTTTGGATATCCTAGACGATCCATCAGTGTCCAGCAGATGTTTTCAATCAGTTTAATGTCATCTCTAGGCAAGTTCTGTTTCCAAACATTAGTATTAGTTGGTGATATTTCCCCTTCGTAGGGAAGATAGAAAAGGTTTGTGGAGGTGGCAAACAATATTTGGTTTAAACTAGCAGGAGACAAAGGAATTCCAAGAAAGGCAAAAATCCCTTCAGTGGTTTTCTGAGGAAAATGTACAATATCTTCAAACTTGATCAGCTGGTAACTGGTAGGCAGCAAATCTGTATTGACTCTCAGGGCTGCTGCTGTGTTTGCCCGCCACAAATGAGACAACAGGGAGACCGGATTTGACTTGGATTTTGATAATTCTTTCCTCAATGATTCATACTCAGAAGCATAACCCGGATTTAAGTGACATTTGCCTTTACTGCCCTCAATTTTAAGCAGTTTAGCTAAGTGCTCTGGTACATTCTTCAAAGAGTAAAGACTTGGCTTACTACTGTACAGCATTGAATAAATCCATGCCCGAGGGTCCCTTACTATGTACAATGCCCTCATCGAAGTTCCTAAAACTTCTTGGAAAAAATGAAGCTTTAAGGTCCAACTCCCACTGCTTAAACTGAGCACAGGACGTGCGCTGGGATAGGCGGCCAGGTGTCTTCTCAAAGCCCTAATATATTCAGCATCTCTATCAAAAGTGCCTTTCATTCTACTTCTCTGTTCTGGCAAAGATTCTCTCCTTTTTAGTTTTCTTTTTTTGTCCTTATTCATGGTAAAATATTGGGCCAGTTTACCCCTACTGGGTTCATGCAAATGGATGTTTTGCAAATGTAGCTTCGTGTCTTGGACCAAGGATTGCAGCCAGCCTCGGAGTAAACGGAAACGCGCACTGTGGATGTCTGACGCCTTCCACTCACAAGCATCTACAAAAGGGTCGATTTCAAATTCAGTTTCAGGGATCTCAATGTAAGCTGTAGGAACCCTGATGTAGAGAAAATCACTACTGTTGAAAAAAAGTTGTTTGAGAATTTCAGCTCCTGAACCAGGAAGTGAGGTAATGACAACCTCGGGAAGATCAACCCGGTGCCCTTCAGAAGACAGAGACTCGGTGCTTGCCTCAGCCTCTGTCCCGGCCCATTTTGCGCAGATGGGCTGAGTGCAGGTGCTCCACACATCCAGCAGCTCGATAAACCACAGAGCGATAACAAGAATCAGGATGCACCGCATTAGCTTCCTAAAGGAAAGGTAAAACCGCCACTGGAAAGCTAAAATCACCAAGCTAATGCACAAAATCAACCCAATTGCTACATTGAATTTAAATCCAAAAGGGAAAATACCTCTATCATGTCTTACAGGCTTTAGTATTGCTTGAGTGCCCAAACCAAATCGAGTTATTTGGCTCTGATCAGCCACATTGGCAAAGCCACCAAATCCTAGGTAGTCAAATCTTGTCTTCAGATTGTGGTAGTCCGTTACAATGGAAACAACATGTTCAGTACTATTGACATTGACAGAAATTTGAAGCCCAGAATTGGAATTATCAATAAATCTGCAGCTGGAAACATTGACATATGGCCCATAAAAAACATAGGCAATCCGTGTGATTGTGGATTCCATCTGAAATGTAACATTAACAAACTGAGTCCACCGCTTCTTAAATTCGGCAGCTTGTTCCGCTTCCTGGATACTAGCAATAGGGCTACTGCCACGATGATCAAACCAAAACATTTTGTAGTGTGCATCCCATACGTCCATCATGGCACCATTATACTTGTTCATAAACCTATATGGGATATACTTAAAATCAATATCCAGATTGTGAAAGAAGGCACTGACAGATGTTATGGGGGAATCATCTTGCTTTTCCACATGATCAACAACAAGCAATGTTTGAGAATTTAAGAGAAGCAAAGCACGATACACACTCTTTAGCTTCATTGATGAAGAATAAGCAGACACTGCTTCCCCACTCACAAATATCATTTCCCCATGTTGAGAGGCAGTAATGATCTCCCCTGCTGCATCGCCAACCTCCTCACCAGTCCACTTGAGCCACTGCGCACATTCTCCCAGCTGACCTTCCCAGGGCTTATTACACTGGCTGGTGGGTGATGGAGCAAACACCAGCACGTTGTTCAGGTGGCTCAGCTTGGGTCCGTAGAGGGCTTCGGAAACAAATACTTGCCCATTGGGAGCAAAAGTAAATGAATTCTGATCTGGATGTTCGTGTCCTGGGTTAAAGCTTCTCCATCCATCAATCCAAGAGTACGGCTGAAAGTGAACAATGTCATACACAGCTCGCCCTCCGAGCTTCCCAGACTTAAAAGACACGAAGGTATTGGTCTGTGTATTTGGCAATCCAGCCCCGTAAGTGACAACACCCCAGTTAGGGAATATGTGCATTTTTGCAGTACCATGTTCAGCAGGAGGCTGTGGGATTTGCTGAGGGTCGTACCAGATATATTCAGTGTGAAGAGTACTCCACCTCTGGGCAGTGGATGGGACCATCGGTCCATCTTTAGGTCGGTGCCTTCTAATTTGCTGAGCTAACCAATTTCCAGCTCCATTTTTTAAGATGAACTTATCCAAAAACACTAACTGGCTCTCTGGACCATAAAACCAATTGTAATTGGAATCTGCTATACCCACTGTTCTTTGGAAGCCAGGTAAAAGGGTGGCATAGTAGAACCAAAAGTGCGTTTTTAACCAGTTATTATCCAAGTTGTTGATATTAAAATGGCGCTGGGCCAGAAAAACATACTGAGTGACTGATTTAGCTGTGTAGCTCCCATACGCCACACCTTCATCCAAAGACCCATCAACAATATGATTCAAGAGAAACATCGTCTTTTCCATCACATCTACTACAACCTGCTTCCACACATTTACTTTAGATCCTTTATTCGCCCCAGTCACCAAGGCTCCAGTGAGCAATGCTACCATATTAGTGGCTTGGTGGTTATGGAGAAGCTGTTTGCCCCATGAGCGGACCTTGGAATACTCATACATTTCTTCAGTAATAACCCATATTTTTTCCAGGTATTTTTGTCTTCGATGATCATCTAATAAATTATATAAAAAGTCAAAGGCAGTGGCAAAACCTGTTAAGGAATGGCCAACTGGAACCTCATCTCCTGGCGCATTCTCAACTAGCCAGTCTTTGTAGCCAACCATCCTGTCCATATATTCCAAGACAAATTCAAAGGCAACTTTGTCTTCTGGACATAACAGACAGTACAGTGCTAAAGGAGGCAGATTGTTACCATAAATCTCATTCCACTTGGCAGCAAAATCAGCATGCTTGGGTGGAGGTAGGTAGTATGTTGGGTTAGACAGCATAATTATCACTGCACCTCTGATAGCTCTAAAGAGATGCGAATGGCTTGTGCGAGACTTCTGTCTCATTGCTTGGATTTCCCCAGCATCAAAATATAAACTTGGATGGAGCACACTTTTCTTCAGCTTTGGGTTGGGTCTGAACTCCTGGACTCTCTCTGTCTTAAACTGATCTATATCATCTGTGAAAACTGCCCAATCAGAGTAATTGCTCACAGATTCTTCAAAAGTAGAGCAAGCAAACATCACTAATACTAAAAACAAGAAATGTCCTGTAAACATAAACGCCATGATCCATTGGGGAGTTCCTTTCCTTAGGCATATATGTCAAATGTGTTTCCCATCTGCTTAGTAGAAAACATACATTTAAGGCCTTGATAAAACAGACTGTAAATTAGAAATGCAGTGAAATCCATCTGACATTCAGCTTATTCAAAGCAAATACAGTTGCCAAAAAAAAGAGAAAACTTACACTGCGTGTCTGTCCCTGACAGTTTTGCTTCCAATAAAACTTCAAGGAATGTTAAAACCTCGAATTTTTCCATATTACCCAGCAAACAGTGGTACAGCCAAACATACTGTGAATTCACGATTTACTTCCTTTACATAAATCTAACACGAAAAGTCAAAATACACATTGTTAAAAAAAAAAAGCACTCCAAAATTCAAATCAAGTTCCTCCCAGCATAGGAAACCATCTCCAGTGACGAAATCGCCATGTACGTACGGTGCATCTGCATGTGTTTGCCCAGAGGCTGATGAAGTGCTGAAATTCCTGGAGTGCATTCAGTTGTTAGTCCTTCCAACTTCTTACACTTCTTGCTTCATGAATTTTTTCTTCTTCCATTTTTGGGAGAAAAACATCCTCAAGTGTTCAAAGTCCTACTCGGTTTCACAAACCTCGAAATTCCTGCCCTCATTTCAAATCTGTCTTTTTCAGGCTTACTCATTACCTATTAGTGACCCAGAGAAAGTATTTTCATGTCTTCTTTTACCAGCTTCATCTGTACAGCTACAAAAATCTAATCTCTTCAGCCACCTAGGTCCTCCTCTTCCAACCAGGAAGTCACCACCACCTGCGAAGGGCAGATCCCCTTTCACCAGCCTTGGTGTCTCTTCTCTGTTCCTTTTTCATGACATTCCTTTCTGGGGTAAAAACAAAACAAAGAAATCCTGAGACTACAGGTATGCTGGGAATGGACATAAATGGATGACTTCAATGTTCTGCAATCTATAGAAATTCTGGAATCACAAAATCTGCTACGAAGTATAAATTCGTTCAAGTGACTCTTCTTTTATTATGCTTCTGCCTGCACATATTAGGATAAAGCGAATTGTGGCAAATGGCAAACAGAGAGAACTTTCCCAACAGTATTTAACTGTGGCTTGCTTTACTCATTTAAAACGTTTTTTAATTCAAATGCAGGTAACACAAAGATGAGTTCCGCTAGCATTACTGTTGTTTCGGTCCCAAAGTCTCAGGGACAAAAAAGCAAAAGCTGAAAGGACCTTTTTTGATTCCAGCTGAATGTTTAGCTTTCCTGGGGTCGGGAGTGCTCGGAAGGGGAACCCCCAGACCGGTGACTCTGGAAGGAGAAATCCTGACCACGGGGAGCAGGGGCCGCGGCCCCGCCGTCTCACCTGTGGCCTTCGCGTCCATCCCACGAGCAGCCAGCAGAGGGAGCTCGGACCCAGACGCCCGCCCGCCCGTCTGCCTCGGGTCTGAGAGCCTCACCAAGTTTCAGTCTTGGACAAGTCTCCGCGGTAGGAAACAGCGCAAGGAGTTTCCAGCTCCGCCCCGCCTGTTGCATTTTTGCATCCGCTCCCTACGATCGTGCCGTCCCCGGCCCTCGACCTCTGCTGCGGTCTGGGGCCCCGGGACCCCCAGGTGGCCAAGTCCGCTTACCTTGGGCACATCCGAACTGGTCTCGCGGCGGCGCCCAGTCCCCGGAGGCGGCAGCGGAGAGTTCGGGGGACTGCCGTGCACAGCAAGCCCCCGCGCCGGGCCCCCGCGCCTCCACAGGCTGCAGCCCCCTAGCCGGCCCGCGCGCGGACACGCCCGCCCGCTGGGAGCGCCGGCGGCCCCCGGTCGCGGGAGGCAGATCCGCGCACGGCGGGCACCCTCGGGGCCGCCGTGCCCAGGGCAGCGCCCGAGCCCCCAGGACGCGAGGCAGCCGCGGACGCCGCTCCTCCGTGCCAGCTCCGGCCGCGCGGCCGGGGGAGGGCGAGAGACGCCAACGCGGGCCGGGGGCGGGGCCGCGGAGGGCGAGGGGCTGCTGGGCGGGGCCTCCGGGAGGATTTACTGGGAAGAGAGACGGCCGTGCGGGCTGCCGGTCGGGGGCGGGGCAGGGGCGGGGCCTCGGGAGGCTTCACTGGGGAGACGGCGGGGCCGGCTGCCGGTCGGGGGCGGGGCGAGGGCGGGGCGGGGGTGGGGCCGAGCGTCCCCGGGACCCTAACGCGGAGGGGCTCGGTGCGTGCTGCTCAAGGCTGCAGTGGACCAGCGGCGCCGGAGGAGGGGGAGTTTGGAAAGGTGAGCGTCCGAAGACCTCGAGGGCTGGCCGAGTCCTGCCGATATTTACCTTTGGTTCCGGGGGCGGATGGCTGTAACAGGGCTGGGGCGGGGGAAAGATGAGGCGGCTCTGAGCAGGATTACAACGGTGGGGAAAGCGGGGGCGGACGGGGTGACGCTGCGGGATGTAAGGGATCTCCCGGAGGAGGAGCAGGGCTGGGGAGGGAAGGCACGAGAGGCAGCCTGGCTGAGGGTGCTGTCCTTTAGTAAAGCAAAATCAATGCCCGAGATTAATGTGAGGGTGACTTAAGAAGCACACAAGCTAAAGATCGGGGGAAAACAAGGAAAGCCAATCAGCTTTATTGACTGAAATAATTTCTCCAGCAGTGTAAATACGGGATGGTGTGTGACAAACAGGTGGTAGGAACCTTTCTTATTAAAGAACCAGAAACTGGAATTCAGCGCAGACCCACGGGCAGTAGAAGACAGTGTGCCATCAGCTTGGAAATCCTGGAGCCGCTGTGAAATCTGCTGTGCCCGGCATATTGAGCTTCTCACGCATAGTTGAGATTGCACGCCCGCCTGAGCCACGGTCTGACCTCAGCCACTACAAATAACTTAGTGACCACAGGGAAGCAGTGAAATACGAAGTGTTGGAAACGAACAAGGCCATTTTGGGTTTGGGGTCGCCTTCAGTTTCCTCCTTACTCCAACCCATTTTGGTAAATAGACTGATGTGTCCATTAAAAATGAGTGTCCTGCTTAGATCACTTCCTGATAAAACCAAACAGTAGACCAATGCCAGCAGAATAAATTTCAAATAATTTACCTTGGAGATGAAATGTGGCCTGCGCCTCCTCCCGACTCTTCTTGTTTGTACCCCTACCTCAGTCTGAAGGGCCAAACGTGCACGTCTGCAGCCATGATGACCCGCCTCTTCACACAGTCCTCTGCCCAGCCATCCTTGCTTGCCAGTTCGTAGTCCTGACTGCTGAAGTTCTCTTACCCTTCTGTCAGCTCAGATGCTTGAATTCCTCTATAAATACTTACTAGGTTTCACTAGCCAGAATGAATTACCCCAAAACTCTGTGATTTATACCTATATTCAGCCTTTAGATCATTTGTTTTATGCTTAATATTCCAGCTGGCTGACCCCGTGTTCTATCCAAAGCACCTTCAAGTCATGGCACTTACCCAGTCCCCTTTGTAAGCGCTGTGTCTGTGTTTGCAATGAGTTGGATCTTTGACATTGGGCTCACGTAGAGCGCCGTCTCCTCCCGAGCTTCGTTCTGACCTCCAGAGGCGGAACTTGGAGCGAGTGCGTTGGCCTCAGCGGAGGGAGGTGACCCAGGGCTTCCAACCTTCGTCCGTGGGACTGAGTGGCGTTGGGGGAAAGGGCAGCCCAACTGCAAAGAGTCCCCTCGTTTTCCGAAAAGCAGCTTTGGAAAGGGCCTAGGATTCGTGTTAGCAAACCCAGTGAGTTAACGCACAAACCATTTCTCAGAACGAAATGTGGAGGTGGGCGTCCTTCATGCTGTACGTCTGAAGAGCTTCACGACGCCAGGGCACAGTGAATCACGCAGAATTATTATGAGCTCTAACATCTGCCGGGCGAGTATTTTAACTTCCATCCAATATTTTTTTTTCAGATTTATTAACATCAATATGATCATTTTCGCTTTACAGATTAATGAATTCAGCTACACAGCTGAATTCTGTTTTACCCCAGGCCTCTGTGCCAAAGCTGTGGGGCACAGCCAGCCTCTCGGCGTTTTCAGGTGAGCATTCAGGCTGATTCACTTTGAGCAAGGATCGTCTCCCACTTGTGAGTGTGTTCAAATAAAACAGGAGCTACAGCTGAACAATTCAAACCATTGGCAGAGAGGCTGATAGGTAAACGGCATTATGAAAAATGAGGAGAGTCTCTTCTCCTGTGAACTAAAAATGGATAGATCCAATTATTGCTCCTTCCACACACAAAGATGGTACATAGTTAATTATAAATAATGCATCCAGCCATAGAAGGAATGAGCTATATGTTATGTTACTGTACATTAAAAACCTTTATGAGTGTGGCAAGAGACACATATGCCAACAGCTGCTAAATTCAGAATCCTGGAGCAGTAGCTTATTTTAATATAACTGAAAAACAGTGCAGTCTATCGCTCTGGGGATTTCCCACTATATAAAAAGATCTTAAATCTACACGATGAGTAAAATCTAGATGAGATTTCACTCATAATTTCGAAGCATTTATGAAGATCTGTTTTCCCTATTTGGGCATCTTTCACCCCTACTCTCAGACACCCTGTTTGCATCAGACATGATGCTTTCTGGGTTAGATTCCCCAAGGCAGGAGCCTCCCTTCTTCCCTTCCCTGCCCTTCCCTTCCCTGCCCTTCCTTTTCAGTCTTCAGCACCTAACCAGAGCAAGGCACCTTGTGTTGAGTGTGTGTTGAATGTTGAACATGAATTATCACCCTCATTTTATGGCAGAAGAGGGAAAAGGCATAAATGCCTGAAGTGGGCTGTGAGTTCTGAGCTGAATCAGAAGCTCTTTTTTTCCAGCCGTGCTGAGAAGCTTGTTATCACACAATCGGTAGTTGGAGCTCTGTCTTGGGGTGGCTTAATTCAAGTGAAACCTAAGACTGGGAAGTTGGCCATTCTTTAAGGAGAATTTCTGCAAGAATTTTATGTCTTAAGATAGGTAAATACAAGCTCTGAGCCTTAGAACATAAGAAAAATACTACATCACCTTACAGAAAGATAAAATAGAATCAATAAAACAAGCCAGGACACTACATAAAGACCCTTGACTGAAATCTTATTTGTTCATGATCTGTTATTCTGGTGGACTCTTAATAATTGCGGTAAAGATATCCAAGAACTAATTGCCATGCATTTAGCATTTGGCCACCGGCAGATCTCCAGTTCGCGGGCTTGTCCAGGGCACTGGCATTTGGATTGGGGGAGGGCTTTGTTATTTTCTTAGCAGAGCCCTTCCTTGACTTGGTTTTGGCTGTGAGAGCTCAGATGTGGATTTCTTCGACCACTTACCACGAGCACATGCCTATGAAACTGATCCATGAGCACTGTTCCCACTAGTGTTTGCCCCAGTGTTTGGGGAGATAGCAGCTGTGATTGTACAGAAACAGACCCCAAACTCAAGTTGCAAATTTTATTGCACATTTGACCAGCAGTAATAGGCCAGATCAATAATAAAGACAGAACCACAGGTTTAAAGCAGGCAGGAGAATCTAGAAATGCTCTTTCTGCAATTGCTATGAAGACAAAACATCTCCAAATGACAGAGATTTGCCTGCAGAGATGCTAATGAAGATGGTGGCTAAGAGTGTTCCTTGTTTTTTTATCTGGCTCTGTAAGAATCTGTATGACAGTAACTGGATTTATAAAAATTTAAAAATATCCAAGCCAGATTCTGAGGAAAGAAGTTTCCCTGTAAGTCCACTGAAACATTGTGTTTGTAAATGGGAAGCATTATTGGTGGAACATCCACTTACATACACAGTTTTGCTGTTACTATGAAAAAATTTTAGACAAGGTGAAACTTACAATGCGCACACACACACACACACACACACACACGCACACACGCGCACGCACAAGGCTCTTCCCCCTTCCTCTGTGTTAACGCCAGTGTTTCTCAACATGGAGCATTTTTGTCCCTTGGGGACATTTGGCAATGTCTGGAGAAATTAATGATTGTCACAGCTGGCGGGGGTGGACTGGTGGCATCCGGTGGGAAGAGGCCAGGGATGACATTAAACATCCCACAGTGCTCAGGCCAGCCCTCCCCCAGCCCCAAACAAAGAATTGCCTAGAGCAGACTGTCAGTACTGCTGAGTTAGAGAAACCCTGCCCCAGCCCACTGACTCTAAAATTTACATGGAAATTATTGTTATGAATTCTGTTCAGATTGAGTCTTCAATTATCCTCTGGGCTTTCAGTCAGCTCTTTGCAGTTAGTTCCAGAGCCAGTTGTGACCTAATTTGTTCACATGTGGCTTTCTGATTACCAAATACTGGGCCCATTTCTTTTCACTTGACCAAAGACATTCCTAAACCTGGCTAGCTCACTTCAAATAAAAACCTGGGCTAGGCTTCTGGACACACTGACTGTAAATCAGTTACTACAAAAGAATAAGAGGAATATGACTTCAGGGTTATCAGAAATACCGTTCTGATCCTCACATACTTGCATACCCCAAGCACCTAA